GGCAGCGATGTGGGGGGGAGAGTGGGGGGGGGGAGGTGTAGGGAGGGAAGAGGGAACCCAGGGAGCCCAGGGTCTGCTGTGGCAGGCCTTATGCAGGGCAGAGTGGAGCGGGGGGGAGGGAGGCAAGGAGGGAAGAGGGAACCCAGGGTCCGTGTGTGTGGGCCTTGCTGACCACTGATCATACAGAAACCTGTGCATGTGCCATGCCAGCTGGGGCATGTGGTCCCAGCTGGCTGCCACACAGGGGCCCTGGCCTGTTACCCACACACATGTATGTATGAAGGCACATGGCATGCTCCCGACCCCAGGGAGGGACACTGCACTATACCTTCCCTCCAGATGCCCCCTCTACACAGAGGCAGGGCACATCTCTCCTTCCCCCCCACCACACCCACACTATAGGCAGCACAGGAGCCAGTTCACATGCCCAGGGATAGCAGGACATGATTGTGCGGAGACCTGCCCTCCTCGCCTTGCAGAGGGGGGCTGGGCTTCACCCACTGTGTCCCCAGGGATAACTGACCTCTTCTCTTGTTTCTCCACAGCCACACCAGCTGTGAGTGCAGGATGCACCACCCTGCCCAGGACATCCTCCTGCACTCGGGCCAACAGGCTCACCTGGAACCAGGAAGAGTGCCAGAGGCAACACCTGGGATTACTGCGAAGGCAGGTCCACAACCAGGAGCAGTGGGTGCATGAAGACCTGCAGCTGTGGCAGGAGAGCTTGCAGGAGCTGCTTGACCAGGGAGGTGCCATCCACGGCCACCTGCAGACCCTGGTGCAGAGACTGCTGCCTGCTGCCGCTCCAGCCCCTGCGGCCACCCCAGCTCTCACTCCTCCTCCCACTCCTGCTCCCCCTCCTGTTTCTTCCTCCCCCACTGCTCACCCGCCCTACCTTCCATACCCACTCCCTCCCGGGGACGCAGAGGCCCCTGCACCTGCAGTGCTGGGAGATAGGTGGGCCGGCAAGATCCCCAACCCTGTTTCTCCTCCCCCGTTCTCTCCTTGTCTCCCCCTTCCAACTCCCCCCTCCCAGGTTTCCCCTGCCCCTCTCCCATCCTCATTCCCCCCTCGCTCCCGTTATGGTCAATAAAGAGAGTTTGTTTTTTGGTAACGCATGTGTTTTTATTTTACATCAGGAACAGGGATTAGGGAGGGGAAAGTGGAAGGACATGAGGGTGGAATAAGGCATAAGGTCACAGTGGGGCATGCCAGTGAGACTTCACTCTTCCTCCAGGTGTAAGCTCTCCCAACAGGGCTTCCCGGATGTGGACAGCCCCCCTGATGGGCCTCCTGGCTGGCAACCATGCGGGGCTGCACCTAGAGGCCAACTTAATGGTCAGCCTTTGCCATCCAGGCTGGCAGGAAAGCCTCTCCCTTCCTCTCACACAAATTATGGAATACACTAACACGCTGCCACCACGTGTGGAATATGCTGCTAGGATAGGTCCAGGCAGGTGAGGAAGCATCTAAAATGGGCCTTCAACCTTCTGAATGCCCCCTCCATGACAGTGCAGGCCCTGCTGAGCTTGGCATTAAAGGCCTGTCAGGAGGGGTTGAGGTGTCCCATGTAGTGTTTCATCAGCCAGGGTTGTAGAGGATAGGCCGCATCCCCCACCAGGCACACAGGCATGTCCACGTCGCCGACCCTGATGTGGTGGTCGGGGAAGAAAGTTCCGGCATGCAGCCTTTGGCACATGGAGGAGTTGTGGTAAACCTGTGCATCGTGTGCTTTGCTTGACCAGCTCACAAACTGGCCTCGGGGGTCAGACACAGCCTGCAAGATGATCGAGAAGTATTCCTTCTGGTTGACGTACAGGGAGGCCTGGTGTTCTGGGGCATGGATAGGGATGTGCGTCCCGTCGATTGCCCCCCCCCACAGTTGGGGAAGCCCAGGGCACCAAACCCCTCTATGACTGCATCCACATTGGTGAGGCAGATGACTCT